TATGGATTGTTCTTCTGTCTGGCAAAACAATGAACAAGGGCAGGAATCATGAAAGGAATTCTCCTGATGAGGTTCTGTGGGTAGTCATATGTTTATTGCATTTAACAGATCAAGTAGGCTGGCAATTAAGCAGAAATTTTATCAAAAGGAAGTTCAGGACGTTATCTGTTTAGCAGCCCATCCTTTCAGTATGAAGTAGGTGAGGTTTATAAAAAGGTGAAGAGGCGACTGTGTGATTCACATTCTCTTGATAATGTTGCAGGTGAGAAATCTCACAAGAAGGGACAAGCTCTGATCAAGAGGAAACAGTGACCAGAGGTAGCAATCAAGTGAGTGACAACAATTTTTATATATATATATACATATATATTATATATATATTTATATTTATATTTATATACATACGTTATGCAAACTTTTTGGCAGACAGCCTGAACCCTGATCAGTCAAGGCTAAAAGAATCAAATAATAAAATCCAATTGGAGGAAGGTGATAAGAGCCTAGCCAAAACTATATATAAGAACCTGCAGTAATCTCTGACCTGAATTACATTAGATATCAGGAAATTCTCCCTGAGCTCTTCTTCAATCTGGACACTCAGTTAGGTGGCTGAGTGCAGGGAATTTTCCAACAGAAAGGCAGTACCTTTGATACTTCCTCAAAATCCCTTCTGGCCTAGTCAATAACATGACAGATCCTCCTCTCATGACGCTAAAGAAGAAAATGTTCTGTCAGAAAGACTTTTCTAGCTCTCGTGGAAGACAAATTCCTCTTGTTGGTACATAAAAGGGACTGACAAGATCCTTGCTTCCCTTCACCTGGGGAGCTGCACACTGGGCCCTTCCCGTAGGGTGTTGTTCTCTCAACAACTTTTCCAAATTGCTGAATTTCTAAGAGCATACAAAATTCATCACTACTGAGGCTGTGAGCTACCACAGCTTCTTCTTAGCCTTTAGTAAATGAAGCCGGAGGAAGCACTAATTTGCAACCTCCCATCAAATTTGCTTCAGACTTGAAGGAGTAAAATGAGATTGTACTTAACTCTCATATACAGGACATCCCAAAAGAAGAACTGTTAAAAAAAACAAAACAAACAAACAAACAACAACAACAAAAAACAAACAAAAAAAACCAAGCAAACAACTGCAAAATGACTGGCACAGCTAATTCCATACTAGACCAGTGTTCACACAAGCACGTTTTTGCTACCTGCCGTAAGAAAGCCTTCCTCACTATGCAAGGTGGTAATTGCAAGCTAGCTTTATTTCTTCCTGAATTGATATAGGCAGTAAATAAATAAAATATGCAGGGGCATAAATAAATAACCTGTTTTTCACTTATTTCTTCTTTTATATAAGACAGCATTATGCTCTGTGTTCCCCAAATTTCTTATGCTCCAGCTGTAGCTGAGCTGTATTTCACTTTATGTATTATTTGGGTGTTGATGAAACCACGTGCTTTTTAGTCTGTTGCAACAGACCTGTAACAAGGACAATTCTAACTTTTCTTAGTAGGATTTCTATGTCTTATCAAGATAACTCAGGGCTCCCCTATTTAGTCTGCTTTTGAAATTCCTCTCGTATTCATCGTTCTCATTTGACGTTTTTCAACCGAGGGTTCTGTCATGTGCAGCATGGATGGATCCAGCTGAAGCACTGGCACCGTCCAGATCTGCTGCCCTGCTAGAGGTTATCAGCAAAGCAAAAAGCAGCAGAATCAGCAAAGGAGATGCATGACTATGTTTCAATTCATAGTGCGCTATTTTGACCTTAATTGCAGAATAAAGAGGGCATAAGCTGGGACACTGTAGCATGTCATGTATTGGGTTGACTGAGTCACCAGCTTTTCCCTCACTGAATGGGAACCAGCAACTAGAAGAGGTTAGGGGAAAAAAAAAAAAAATCATTTCCAGAGGAGAGAGCCATAAAAACGAGTAGCTTCCAAAAGTAGGAAGGAGAAAGGACTGTACCTTCCTGTGGGCCCACATCTTCCTGAACCTTAATCTGATGTCTACATGTTGGGTATTACAAGGAAAATCGGGAGATACATGCTCTACTTCCAACCTGTGCATCTACTGACAGAATGAATTTCATAAGCCTTGTCCTCCTGAAACTGGTAAAACTACTGCAATTTCAACATCAGACATGTTTCTTTTTCTGCCCATATGTGACGACCTTGGTATGGAAGGATATGCAGTTTGCCAACAGACACAGAACAAGGGTGAATAAGATAAGGGTGAAACAGATACAGGATGGCTTAGCATAAGCACAACATTTTACACCATTCTGAGGCAATGCCCAACAAAATGACTGGAGACCTGCTTGTAGCAAAAATGGTTATTCCACCCATATATATGAGTAATTGCTAGATGAACCAGAACTAATTCCATGAAGAGCTATAGCAATTGTTACTCAAATTGAGTTTGCCATGGCAGATGCTAAAATAATTGCTCAGGGGGATTGCAGGCCATATTTAAGCAGTTAAATCATTACAAGTGTAATCTTCAGACTGGCAATGGATGAGAGAACAAGGTGGTAGCAAAGAGAGCATCATTTTTTAATCAAACAAACACTACTGCCCTTCTTCCTCACGATCTATTTCCTTATCTGTATGAAGAACTCAACATTTTCACAGATGTTGTCTATAGGCACAGACACACACAAGAACGTCCTCAAGGGTACTTGCAAGAATAGAAATTATGTTTCCTGAAGAGGGCTGTTTCAGAAAGGATATTTGTATATTTCTCAACGAATGCAAAGAAAAACTCCTAGGTGACTTGTCTAGCTAGTATTAACTAACCCTTGACTGTACTCGCATGCAATTCTTAGCAAAGTCTCATTTTTGTCTATTCAAGTCTTCAAAATAGAGATTACATAGGACACTGGTGGCAAATAGGTCGCACACACTGGCTGTATGCAGGCACGTGTATGTCTTTGCAGAACAGGGAGCCAATTGAAGGAGAAAGAGAATTGGTTAGGCAATGTATTTTGTTTGCATTATTCTTCAGATTATGAATGCAGGCTGTTAAAATGAGTCTGTTTCTGAGCATTGATTACTTGTATATTTGTACCTTCAGAACAGAGGCACAAAGCAATAAAACAATACAGTTTCATTTGTCACAACTGACTGTGGAGGAAATAATGCTTGACATAAACTAGATACAAATATTAGACACGTCTACATCAGACTGCTGCATACTGAGACCTTCAGAGTTGTTGTTATGAGTTCATAAACTTGGATATATGCAAAAGAAAAAAGCAAAATGAGCTTTGTAGCCAGGTTGCCAACCTTCCTTACACTGAATAGTATATCACCTCACACAGCACACAGCTCATTTACAACTCAGCATGATGAAGAAGAGAATCTATCACAAAACGGGCAATAGAAAGGTCTTCCTCTTCTATGTTATGCAGAAGGTCACAAAGGTCAGTAAGGAAAACAAGTCTTTAATTGTCTTCCAAACCAGTTCCTCCCAAACTCCTTCTGGAACTGACAGCAATTCAGCAAAGGGTGTTCATGGCAAAGACAATGAGTGAAACTCATTTCTATTAAACAAAGAAACAAGTCACTGTGTAACATACACAAATCATTTTCTCATGGGTCCTAAGAAAATGTTGTAGTGGCCTAAAAATGGCGATGGTAGAGGAGAGTGAGAGATTTGACATACCAACTAGACTTTGCAGACCCTTGGACAAACAATTAGGAAAATCGCTGCCTGCCACGTTAGAAGGATTATCTCTGCAGGATGTCCTGAGATGAGAACTGGGATTCATAGCTCTACTGCAGACAATCCAGGGACTGCCACAGAAAGCAATATCATTCTTTCTTGTGCATCCTCCTGCCTCAGCACCACCAGCTATCCTCACCGTCCTTCTCTCTGTAGCTGTTTTCACTACACAAATGTAGCATCTCTGCTAGTACAAACTGATCAGAAAGCAATTTTTGAATGATATGTTTTTGGAAGAATTGCCAATTTATCACCTTCTAGGAAGGGTACACACTTGAAAAAAAAAGAGTTGGCACATTTTCACCATTATAGCTGTTTTGTTCTGAGTTCAAAATAGCTTATTTTGTCAAACATAATTCATTAGCTCACTCACCCAGCCTTTCCTATAAGATGCTAGAATGCCTTTTAGTTGGAAGTCAACACTAGAAAGTCATACTTTTAAAAAATGAGATAACTAGTACTTGGAGATATATGGTACATATACATAAGCACATATATATAGCATCTGCATCAGCATAGTTCTTTGATGAACTGTGATGACTGCAAGGATAGAAATCCATACCTGACTCTAAAGATGTCCAAAGTGATGGCACTACCATACGTTTAAATGGGGGCAATTTCCAAGTACCTATGCTGTAACCGCCTCTAATCAACCGCTGAAAGACAGCATACTGTGCTATTCAAATAATATTTAAATGAAATCAATAAGCCCCCTCCATCCAAAGAAGAAAGACAGATATCCCCTACTAACAGAAAAAATGTAATATCCGAAGTAGTCACTCCTGCCTGGTAAGATAAGCAAATGAGTTACTATTTTGAAGGCTGTATACCTTTTTTTTTTTCTTTTCCCAACTAGAATACCTGCAGAAGTCAGAAAGAAAAACGAACACAAAGATATTCTATCTTGCATGCTTAAAACTTCTCTAATCCAAAGCCTATAAACACTGACATTGTTGCATAAGCTTTTCCATATTTGGAAAAATCACTAGACTTGATTTTTTATTAACTTTGCTCTTATAATTGTTTAAATATTGATACTCATCTTGACTTTTAGAATTGAGATTTTATTGATTCTTCAGCTATATCTGATTCTTATGAACAAGATAAGGCCCTTTCTGTTAGACATCTTCTCCTTGGGTCATTGCTTGATGAACTTAGGAACTTTACACAGCAACTTGGGAATGAGTAAATGGACTTCTTGAGATAAAGTTTGGAAAATGGCTTACTAAATCATGTATTTATTTGTTTTCCCTACAGACAAGAAGCAACAGACCTTACATTAGGGTCCTGCAGGCTGGAGGTCTTACTGGGATTTACAAAAGAGGTCTCTTCTTTCACAGCCTGTTAAAAGAAGGAGTTAAAGTTTAGTACAACGTCCATACACTTAGGATTATATATGTTTACTGTAAAATATTCCTGTAGGTACCTCATAAAATTGCAATGACCAAATGCCTCTGCCCAGAATAAAGAGCATAAATATTTTTTAATCATCATCAAACACTGAGATTCACTGTGATGAGCTACAATGTACAATACCAAGAACAACAGTGATAGGAACAGACTGGGTAGGGATAAAGGAGCGGGAAGCAAAGGAAACAGATATTTATGTTTCCCTCAGAAAGCAGAAATAATAAAAATCAGTCCAGGCAAACATGCTGATATTTGAGTTGTTCTTTCAATTGGAGTAAAATAAATATTTACATAGTCTAATCAAAACCACGTCAACTCAACAGCTTTTCATTCAGTCGTTAGAAAAATATACTGAAAAAATGAGATCCCCTACAAATGATCACTCTGCACATGCAGTTCACAGAAAATCTCACCCATTACCGCTCTCTGCTAAATTACAGCATCCTCTGTCTCTCATATCATTTGTCTATAGAGTAGAAAATACTAACAGTGCAAAATTACTTACATGGAAATTGCTTGATTACCTAGGAAACGCCCACTTCGGGCAGGTGTTAGTAGATTATACTCTTCAACTGAGACGCAGGATTCCACAATCCATGTGTAAATGCCCATTTCAGGGCAACACTGCACCCTTCTATAGAAAATACTGGCTGAAGACACAGGAGTATCTCCAGATCACTAATGGACTTGGCAGGCTCTGACATTTCCATTCTGCTAAATGGATAGATGGAGCTGATGCAGGTCTACAGCAGAGTGATTCTTCAGTGCTCAGCATCTGAACCATAATAATTTGAGGGCACTGGTGGAGATCAAATTGCATTAAATGTGTCGGTCTCATTCTGCTCAATAAGGATGAGACAGGTTCCTTCAAATCAGATCAAAGGATTTTACAGGCATATAAAAAAATTGTAAATTTGACAAGATGTTTCATTCAATGCAGATCGATACATTCCATTTCAGGGTGCTCATAAGAAAAAGAAAAAAAAAGGAAATTAAGGCCTGAGTTTCTTTTACACCTTAGTAGTAAACTAAAAAATATCAGAAGTGATGCTCAGTGCTTGGGGAAATCACCCAAGTTTTAGGTTAGTTTCCCCTTTGTGTCAGAGTGAACAAGCCCCCATTGCCACTTGGCAGTTCACTATCAAAGCATCAGCCATGGTGGGCACACGTGGTGCACGCTTGTACACGAAATTACCTATAAGGTCCATTAAACCTGGAAGCCTGGAAGAAAGTGAATTCATTCCTGGGGCTGCTCCAGCACAGGCAAATACCTGAGGTGATGAGCTAGGCAGTATTTTGACTTAAGGCTCTCCTCAACCCTTCCCTTTGGGTTGTTGCACCTTGTCTTAATACTGAAACCATCAATGACATAGTCAGCAGGTCTGTCCCTCTCCTGAGAGTCTGGTTTGCACAGAGGAAGCAACTCTATGGCTTGTTTACACAAAGGATAACAGGACCAGCAGTAGGCACTGCTTCAGCATGGCTAGAAGTTTCTTAAGTGCTCTGCAAATGCTCTAAATATTAAGGAGTCAGATAAAGGGGGGACACGATCAAACCTTCACCACCATTGTAGCACAGCCACCAAATGCTTTACAGCTGAAGTTTTCAGTGAATTAGCATCAGGCCATGAAAATAATTTCAGAACCAGCAGTGTTATTTATTAATTTTGAGAAATTTGAAATCATAATAAATTCATCTCAGTTCTAGAAACCTTATTTTTTTTTCTGTTGATTTTCTAGTAGCTCTGTCTAGCCCAGTATTTAGTCACAATCCAGTGCTTTCTTGAAAGGAAAAAACTTTCTTTTTTTTTTTTTTTTTTTTTTTTTTTTTAGGAATTGAGAAAAAGCATTGAAAATCACTCTTTGTTGACACAGAAGAGCATTGAAGTAATTTTTCTTTGTTCTGCAGAAATCATAATGCTTTTTATAAAGCTGTTGGGTTTTTGAAAGCTGTAAGCATGAATCCACACATCAGAAACTTAATACACAGCGTCTTCTTTCACACTGATGTCTTAGCAACATTTTATTGTTAAGCCTGACAAGCTAGCTGTTTATGATGTGTCAAATTGGCTACCTTTTAAAACCGTAATTTTTACTTTATTCCAATTTTCACCAAATTAATTGAGCTGCATTTTGAGATGCACTTGAATACAACAATAAAAAGAGAACATGGGGGTGGAGGATGCAAGGCAGGGGCTGCGACCAAGATCGAAATGATGAAAATTCTGCCTACATAAACACCATAAGATCTCATTAGCCAGTTGAGAGGGCTTCATTGTATCATTCCCTAACAACTGCCCCTTGGTTTCTTATGTGTTCTGTGGCTACATTACCATCTTCTTTTGACTTCTCTGCAAAAGTAAGTTAAGCCTAATTCTCAAGAAGTAGTATACTCCTAAGCAGCATGATCAACACTCTGAGAAACATGCTTTGTATTAATTTTCTCCATTATTACTCATGCCTCAGAGAACAGAAGAGACTTGGGTACCTACAAATAAATGCTGTAGATTAGTGAGCAAGTAATCCCACTCTAAACTGTGGGGAGAAAGGGCGTACATGAAGAAATGGAGGTGCCTGCTGAGCCTCAGGTCATGCAGGCGTGCACTGGCAAGTACACATCAGTAAGGATGGGATAATTCTTCCCACCTCTACACCTCTTCTCCTTGCCTATGGATGAATGGACAGAGGAGAATGTTACACCTGTGAATATTTCTGCAAAGGTCCTCAGCTATCAGCACCTATGATTCCTTTGCTTTCCTTGCTTGCTTGTTGGGCTTTTCTTCTTGTTTTCAGAAGGAAGTGGGTAAGTCATCAGCTGACAGCTTCTTTTGTTTTTCCTTCTAATTAGGCAAATAACACTCAGTAACTGTGCAAAGACATCCTCAGCCTTATTGTAAAGATGTGTCCCATAATATAAAATGAGCATTACAATTGCACACACCACATACATACACTCAGAATAACCATATATATAGAATCAGATTCACTTGATAATTAGCCAAAGAGAAGCAAGCTGGCTTTTGTAGCTACCAGACTACAAAACAAAATTAAAGGTTGACCCATACAATCAATTCACACAGTATCATTCTCTTTTTCTCCTTTCTTATCTGTACTGGGCCTACAGCAAAAATATAGAAATAAAAAATCTTAATGTTCCACTTTCATATGCCATTAAATTTCTCAGTAGTGCTAGAAACAAAAGTAAAGCATTATTTTCTCATTCTAAAGACAAAAGACATGCACGAAGAAAAATGCCATTGTATAGACTCTTTTCATAGGCAACTGCTATGAAAATTTAGTATGAAAAGAAGAGAAAATCATTTGAGTAACAGCAAAAACATCTTGGGTATCTCTCTTTCATCACAAGGTAAATTGCTGTGGTTCTCTCATCCGATCCATAACAGGAATCACTTGAATCAGCAAAAAGGCTTCATAAAGAATCTGATCACTGCAGCCAAAAGTAAGAGTCAGGTTCTTGCTTAAGTAAGAAAAAGTTCTGAAAAGCTCTTATGATACACATAGCAATTTCACAAAGTTCTCACACAGAGGAAGTAACAACACATCTTTCATATGTTTGGAGATCTTCAAAGGTGAAAAAGCAATGGCTCTCAGGTCTGGAAATACTTGACAATGATTGCCCTTTCTGCCTGCGTAAGGATGCCTAAGAGGCCTGATGCATAACAGGTTTTTCAGCTCTTCATCAACATTTTTGTTATTTGCCAACCACACTGATTTTGGCTGATCTCATTAGATAATACAGGATAAACAACACATCAATGGGAAAAACATCCTGCCAAGGTGAACCTAACTTGGTGATTTAATATCTCAAACTTACCATTTCAGGCAGAAAAACATGATGATTAAGTCTCACAGGAATGGACTGCTGTTCCTTCCCCCAGAGCAGGGCTGAGAACCACACATTTCCTGGGCCATGGCTGGCCCCCAACACCTCACTGCAGTTAGCACCATTCATCTCATCACATACTGGCACTTACAGCGAGGAGACATAACTGACACACTGACAACGTGTTGTCACAGTCTTGTGACACCACTGCCATACTTGCCTCCAGTATCTCAGAGAATAACTTATAGATTTCTCTTTTTCCCACATTCTGTTTATCTAAATCGTCCCTCCTCTCCTGTACCTCAGCAAAGTTACCACATCATTTCCTCAGCTCCTTCCCTATCTTCGAGGTGTCGTTGCTGATACACTTCTAATGAGTTACCATATATCATATATTGATTATCCTGGCACACACACATCCAGAATCTTGTGTTTTTATATCTGACTCCCTTTGTTTTCTGTAGTCCCATTTTTAAAGTTGAGCAACCCTGTTTCCATTCAGAGATAGAAGGCAGAGGATGTGAGGAAGAGCTAATTTTGAATTCCACTGTTATGAACAATTACAAGCAACGTGACGCTGCACCCACTGTTGTTGGATCTGTGTCCCAGCCCAATCACTTCCCTTTCCTTAGCCTGAAAACTTCTGGAGAGTTTATTGCTCATCCAAGTGGGTGACTAATAGCAAGGGCTGCAGCAAAGCATTGTGTGCATTAGGAGCTGTGCAGGCTTCCCCCACAGCCTGTATATCTCAGCCACAACCTGCTGTACATGTGTAATTCCAGCCCTGATCTCTGTGCAAAGACAGTCAAACTGTGGGGTTGCTTTTTTGCTGTCAGGATGGGTAAAGGGAGGGAGGAGAAAAAAGCAAACAGGATCTCCTTTGTGATGGAAAGAGGTTAAAAAGTCGGAAAAGCTGATGGTTTCAAGGTACTTAAGTCAACATCTAGTGAAAGCTGAGAGCTCCTCAGAGAATCCAGAAGGATTTCTTTAAGTCCTGTTATAAGAGACTGCATAAGATTTAAATCCTCAAGTGTCTTCCCCTCACCTAATCTATTTTCATTCATGACCTGATTAGGGTTTGAATCCAGCACTTGGAGCTTTATCCTTACGCGGATAAAGCTCCAAAGACTCAGTTTATATGAAGACAGTGAATTATTTCTAGGAGCAATGGCAAATACACCTGGATGTTCAGGCCAACAAGTCCTTACACTTGAATCTTTCCATAAAGGGCACAACACCAAAAAAAAGGTAAGGAATCACCAAAAATGTAGCCAAGAAAGACTAGGTTTCTGAGTCACTTCAATTAATACACCCTTTCTACTATAAATACGGCATATGTCCCAATCTCATTTACATTTGTAGCGACTGCTTGCATCTGTATGGAGAATACAGGCTGCAGGTTGATACCAGTACCCATGTTGACCCGAGACATTTTCTGCAGCACAGCTCAATCCTCTCCTGGATGCAGCTCGAGACAGCACAGACAACATGCACTTCTTCACGTGTTTGAAAAACTTGAAGCAAAACTGCACCATCATCACCTGTACCTGCTTCTTGGACAGAGAGGAAAGAGAGAGATGGCTACTGATGCTGGTATAAAAATTTACAAGTGTATAGGCTTAGGAAGAATGACAGCGTGAGAAAGAGGCCAGAGGAGTGAATGTGCCTTTGTTTACTAAGAATCAAGGCAGGAGAATCAATTGCTGAAGAACTCAGACCTGTCCAAGGAGACCCTTACCAAGGATTTCCCCTGGGGCTGATAAAGCAGAAGCAGAGAATAGAGCATTGTCTGGCAGGGATGTGCCTGGGAAGAGGAGGAGAAAACGTCAGGGAAAGAACCAGAAGGGGGGAAAATGCCTTTTCTCATCACTTTTGTCTCAACAAGCAACCCACAGTTGGGAATACAAACACCACTTGCAGAAGATTTCTGGAACACAAGTTCTATGTCAAAAGAAGGAGCCCTGCTGAGATGGTTGTACATTTGCTCAGGAGCCTGCACTTAATGCCAAGAATAATTAGGATTTGTCCGCACCCAAGTAGACATAAACAGCAACCAAAACCTCTCGTGCCCATGAGTTGGGCCATGGGCCGCTTTGCAAAATGGACTCTTTGTGATACTAACAAGTTGTCCAATCAATCACAGCATATCAGCACTGACTCATGCAAGCTGCAAAGGGGTTCTAAATGCCAGGCAGAGCTGGTCTTTTGTATTCTGGCAGCTCCGCATTGCTGCCTTATACCTCTCTGTCTCTCAAATGAAGAGCCTGGAATAAATGGAAAAAAAAAAAAAAAAGATGAAGAAGAAGAAGAAAAAAAGGAAAAATGTCAGTCGCTTTGCAGTGTTTAGTGCTCCCCTGGAGCTTAATTATGTGGGAACTGTGATACGCAGTCTGTCAGCTGGAAGGTGGCAGATCCCCATAGCACAGTTTGAAGGCTGTGTTGTGAAATACTGCGGTTTTGTTCTAGACTTACAGATGCCCATGGTAGGGCAAACTGCAGATTCCCACGATAACATGTGAGTTCCTCACATTTCTCATCCGTGGTGTCTGCGTCAGTGCGCTCCTGGATTTGGTTTCAAGTATCCTCATGCACTCTGTACTTCGATTCTCCAACTTGCAGAATGGCACATAAATATTTCCATCTTCACCACACAAACAAAGTCACTCTTGTTAGTCTCCTGCTGCTCTATAGCTCTACACCACATGCAGGGCTCAGCAAATGGCACCGTAAACTTAGAAATGTTCAGTCTCTAAGTCAGGACTGTAGTCACTGGAGATGGTATATTGTCCCCTGGGAAAGCAACAAACAGCTCTTCAGCATGATTCAGAAATGAGGCAGTGCAGAGACCATCTTGAAGGGTATATTTTTAAACGTACCACATTATTTTCCCTGTTTTTATATTTGAAATCATAAGTATTGGAATCATTCATTTCTAAGACTCTCTAAAGTTGGTGTCTAGTTGCCAAAAAGAAAGAAAATTATATAAAATTTCCTGCCCTGGATTTCATTTTTCACTCACAAACATTTACTCAATTGCCAGCATTAATGACAAAGAGCTTCTTCTACTACATGCAGGAGATGCCTTTATAAGCTTGTCACATCCTGATGTTAGTAGCATATGGTATTGAAAACATCCTCACTGCTTGGAAGAGAGAGCTGGTACAAATATTTCAAGCAACAGTTTGTTAATTTTGGATCTGATCCCACAGTGCACCAGTATTTTTTCACACTTTTACACCTAACTATATAATGATAATGTCCTGTGAAATTTCATGAAGGATAGTTTAGACCATAGATTTCTGGGGATGTTTAAAAAATATATTAGTAGATACTCTATCCAGCTTTTAAGAGAACATTTTACTTCAAATAGCATGTGCATAAAACATGATCTGGTTCTTTCTCCTTCCTTTTACAAGGTCAAGGGGAGCAAATTCTTAGCTTCTTGTGACACCACATAATAAAGAAAGATCTATGGAGTACATGAGGAAAATCAGCCCGTGTTTCTTTACAGCAACTGAAACAGACTTTTCTTTACAAAACGTAGATGTACTTTTTGCCCAGGCTGCTTGTAAATTGAAATATGTCAGTGCAGAAGACAAGAGACGAGAAATTTGAGGGTATTGCTTTTAAAAGAATGAGGCCGGAAGGCTTCACAAGGATTTACTGGAATCAAAAGACAGTGTCAGGCACAGGACAGCAGGGTTAGCCCCCAGATATACTGGGCAGCAGGAGATGTCAGATATGGTCAAAGAGAGGCATGATCACAGCCCTGAAGGAATACATGGAATTCAGTGGTTGTCTGCCATGAAGAAACTATTTCTTATCTGCCACCTGCAAAGGATGCTCTAAATGTCTCTGGGCAGTGTAGTGCCATCCTGGCTCCCTTTTTCCTGAAGGTGACTGAATTGCCACTGGGAAATAGTTCACCTACTTGTATTCAGCCAGATTTTCATGCAGCAGAGAGTACAAGAGATTACTGGGCATTTTTATGGCATGTTGGTAAGGTGGTTTATTGGGACTCCAAGTAGCCCCCTCCATCCTCCCATTTTCTAGGTTACAGACAGTGCATTTCCTACTGCCTCCGTCACCTTTAGTCTGCCCTTTCCAGCACTTGTCTAGCCACAGCTTCTTACTACAATGACTGACCACTGCCTCATGTCTATCTACCTCTTTTTGGAATGTATTTGGGAAGGGCAATAATTCACACGTGCAGGAAGAATTCATCTCAGTATCACAGGCATTCCTGTGGCTAAGAAGGGAGGATTCCCAAGTAGAGGTGACATCCTAGCTTGCTGGCTACCCCTCTTAAGCCATACTCCTTTAGCACTGAAAGCTACAGGAATTTCAGATTGAACCGCATGCCATTATATTTCCACAACATGTGCTGTCCTGCAGCAGCCTTCCTTCCATTCCTTCAACCTGAAATCATAAGGGGCCAAGCCTATGACATGTATTTAATCCAACCTGACTGCTAAAGCCTTGTGCAGAACAAAATGGGTATGAAGGCAAAAAGGAGATGCTCAGGTTGTTCTGAACCTTATTTGCCAGACAGCAGCAGCTAAAGAACAGAGTTGTGGCACGATGAAAAAGCAACCCAGGATGTTCTCCCTCAGAAAACCTCAGGGTGAAAAATTAAGTCAGGGCAGGTGAACTGAGAGATGCATATGCTTAGCACATTTCCTGTCTTGCCTTAGTAATGCTGCACTCTGAATGCAGCAGCACACACTGCTTCCAGTCTTTAACCATCCAGTCAAACATGATCATTAAGTATATTCTGGGGAAAATACAAACTTGAGAAATACACCATGACATCCTGTAGAAAAGAGTCACAGAGGAAAAACAGAGGGCAAAATCAAGGGCAATCAGACAAGAAAAAGGCTGCATAAAACACAGTTGATATAGCACAGATTTCAGAAAGAGGTGAGAACTGCTTTAAGCAAAACAAAGAAAAAAAAACAATCCTCCTTCTCCTGCATGCTGTCAGATTTATTGTTTCTGTTTGTGAAATCTAGGGCAGTCAGAATAAAAAAGAAAAAAAATGATAATTTCTTAGGTCTATCTAGACCAGAGGTAATCTAGTTCTTAGATGAAAGATCTGCCAGGGAACAACACACACACAAAGATGATTGTTAACAAAATCTTTCCAGGGCAAGCTGACCTGCTGTGTTATTGTGAAAAGACATTAAATGATGGAAACACCAATATAATTTGTATTCAAAAAGAATAGTACGCACAAGGAATGCACAGGAACTTGGGATAAGTTATAAGAATCATTCTGCCTCTACTTTTGTTCCTAAAGCATTCAGTTTGGCTTTATTTTTGGCATAAATAGCATTACCCTTTGTCCACTAATTACACTTGCAAGGAATCATGTATTTTAGGCTTCACTTAGATTTACTTCTCACTGAGAAGCTATCTTGTTACAGTCCTGCCATCTAACAGTAACTTTCATTTGCATGACATTGCTGCAAAACTTGTGGTGTCTTTGAAATGTGGTGTATCTGATGTCAACACTGAAGTGCAAATAGCAGCAGGAGACTTGGTACAAGGCACGCTAACGAGTAAGAAAACCATAGACTAGCTAACATTCCACATTAGACATTGGAAGTTAATCCCCTAAAATAGACTGCATTTGGTTGCATAATGTTATTTTACAACACCTTTAGCCATAGTTTCCATGAGTGTTGGGCAGCCTCAGAAAACTCCAGAGGTTAATGCTTCTCAGCTGCAAAGTAAGCAACAGCTGGCATGACAGAATCAAAACATGGAGATTTCCTGAGACACTCGTGGCTGTATTATTCGTGTCAGTAAGGACAAATTTCCCATTCCCATCATATCAGTCACAGTGACATAACTGAGTAAACTGCAGAGCAGCTAGAGAAAGTTAGGTCAGTATGGATACGCCTGATAAAATAAGGTGCTTCCTCAGGAGTGACATGGTTTAGAAAAATTTCTGTAGGCTATAACTAAATTAGGAAATAATACCAAAATAAAGGAAGTAATTCCAAAATACATTCAAACACAGATTACCTGGGTGCCTACTCTGAAAGCAGCTTCTACTTGAGCTTTAAGAATGTTGCACTTCATATGATCAGGGACAGAGGAAGGTGACACAGGGGGATGAAGAGTCTTTTCAGGTACCTTTTTCTCTTCAACCTATATTTAATAGGAAAGAAAAGCACAGTGACTTACCTTAGAAAGATATATCAACAAGAAATATCAGAGATAAGACTTCCAGGTACAACAACAACAACTCAATTCACCAATGCAGGATAAAACTTACGTGTTAATAACCAAATAAATATGTCTTACAATAAAATATTTCAAAACATTAAATTACTTGATACTATTATCACAACAAAAAAGCCATCAGGAAAGCCTGACTAATAAAGGAAAAAACTATCTCACAGTGCTAAGAAAGATGGAAAAAGCCCAGCCAGGCTCTGGAGTGACTGCCAAACCTGTGATCACACCGAGTAAGCACATTACATCTAGAAGTGGGAAAGTTGCACAGCATTCAACTGTAGTGAACGCTGGTTTCTTATACCACCCTAAGAATGTAAAGGAGCTTTGGAAATTTAACCAGAGGGATTTGAAGGGATCTCCACATAATTGCAAGCCAAGTGAAATCTCTTTTATCAGAGAGTTGAAACATTGCTGCTGCTGCTTCCGCTTGCCTACTGTCAACACCTTACCTATTCAGTGTTCTGGATCACAAATCTGAAGCCTTGGGACAGCTAGCTTAGTGACCTGTTCAAACATGACCTAAAGGTTTTGTGCCTTGAACAAACAACATCCAGCAGAAATGCCAGCATGAATAAACTTCCCATGCAGAAAAGAGAAAATAAAAGGACAGTGTAATACTGATGTATAAACAAACTGGGTATGGAAGAGATCAGGCTTGTAAATGCAAAACACAACCAATCACACTGCAATTTCTCATATTTTTAAGGAAGAACTGGCTGTTATGCCATTGCTAACTTTCCTGTTCTTTATGGAAACGAGACCTGAACAACAGATGAACAATAGCCCACACTGTGCTTTCATTTTCCTCTCATGTTGCTGTGAAGTGTGAGTGGCTGCATGCACCGCACAGAAGGAAGCATAATGCTGTCATTCAGACCTCACTGCGCTCCCTGTAACCTCCCGTCCAGCTGGAACCCCCCATGGCTATCTACTGGTTGATGGTAATTCAAACCTCAGTGACTCTTCTCTCAGGTCCAAGATCAATCACAGACAGAAAGGAACTTCAAGATCCAGGGGCACTTTCTGCAAGTGCAGCAAATCCCAAATACAACGTTGTTGACTGAGAGGAGACTATTCTGTAAATGCTGTCGGGAGAAGAACCAGATCTCTGCAGAGTTCTGTTGAGACTGCAAGATATGTATCATGCGTTCTCAAAGCTGGTCCAGCAGGCTCCTTCACCCAAAATGTCAAAGCTGCCAGGTATGATCTCAAACAACTTACTGCTAAAGGACTGCCCATCCTGAGATTTTTCTTTATCTGTTAGATCTCAAATAATTCCTACGGGCTTATTTGCCAAGCCACATTTACTATTTTTAATGGAAGATATTTCTGGACATTTCATTCTCCTCACTTTCCTCCTAAGGGGAAAAGAAAATATTAAAAATGAAAAGTGACAGCTTCTGGCTGGAACAACTTACAGAACTGTTGCTATCTATTTAGTTTTGACTGTAACTTTAGTTCCGGCAAGCATCTGAAAAAGAAATATTCATTTGCCATAAGTGCTTTTTTTCCTGGGGTACTCATGAAGATTAAGAAGTGGAGATAATCAAAAGAAGGAAAAAAAAAATGGAGAAAGTACAACATTTCCTTGAGCAACAGCCTTGTTAGCCTGAGTGCACTGCCGTACTCTTCAAAAGAGCTGCCACAGTTGTCAACTTTTAATAGTATTGATTTCTAACAGCAAAAAGAATAACACACTAAGCAATGACATTTCTAAAGGCCATGCAACACCCCACCTTTGTTTTAACACTGGATTCTAATTAAATAACATTTCAGCGAAGCAAGATTAAGTAATTACATTTCACTAGCTAAATCAAGACAGCCGATGCTTATTAGGACACAAGCTTGCTTCATAGCCTCTTCTGTTCACACAGGGATATTTTTCAGTCCTCAGATTCTTCTCCTGCCCAGTTTCTCCACACTGACCAAAAGCCCTGCAACTGGGAATCTCCAACAGGTCTAAGCCACCTGCTGCACTTAGAATTATATCAGGATACATTCCCAGTGTGGTCCTTGACATGCCAGTCACACACTATTACACTCCTCATTACGAGGGGGGTCCAAATGCTGCTGCCTTGGCTGAAAATGGGCACTCAGTTCTGTACCAGTCTTTCTTTGGGTCAGACTTTAAGCAAGCCAAACTCACTTTGCTTGCATCCATGAGCAGCAGCAGCTCAGCAGACTGCTCATAGGTGATGAGCAGACACTGCTGTTGCTTGGGTTCATCTTGCTCTGCAGATGCTTAGCCAGCAGCCCAAGGCCACTGTCTCTGCTTACTCCCAGAGGAAATGTCAATTGCACACAAACACCAATGGGGTCTGGGGCTGCTCGACCTGACCCAGAGTTCTCTAGCTACTGAACATATCTGAAAAGGCAAAGACATCTCTGCCGGCCTGCCTTGGCAACAACAGAGCCTGTGCCACAGTGCAGCACACCCTGAGTCAGCCCTGAACTCAGCCCACAGCTGATTATCTGAGCCTATTAGACATACATTTGCAGTGGCACCCAAGATCCAGATGAAATGTGAACTCCAATCACAGAACAAAGTAGCAACTCATTATTTTAGACTATTAGCACTTCAAAGCAGCTATGTAAGTTCCCATTGTTCTTTAATGCCACCAATCTTTACATATAACCCTGTTAATCTCCTAATTAATCTCCTAAAGTATAATTGTCACCGAGAAGGAAAAAAATGACTACACAAAACCATATAGTAACTTGTAAAGTTCATTTTCCCAGTTCAAAAACAAACCTGACAGCATTATGGAGTCTTTATAGACTATTGCTGCAAGGAGAGCTGTTATATACTTTATTTCGTCATGGAATAAAGAAATCTTATGTTTCCAGAATCCCTATTGCTTGCAATGATGAGTGAAGCATGCAGACAGCAGCTGGGTATTTAGATGCTGCACCAGGTTAGCAGTTATTAAAATTTTATTTTCACTTATAAACTAAAAGCATTCAGCGTGAAAGTCGTTAGAAGTCTAAATATGGCACAATGTTAATGAAACTGCCAATCTTATCTTTTCTTATTATGTACTTCTGAAAAGTCTGAGATGCTAGTTTTAAGTGACTGTCTGAGAGTCAAGATTGCATTTGAAATAAATAATCGCCTTGCTTAAAACTGCAATCTAAATTCATCCTAAATGGTCTGTAAATGAGGGAAAAAAAAAAGTTGACATTAAGTTAAGATACCTGATGGCACTCCAGTTTTCCATATCCACTTCTTCTGGTGCTGTAAGATAGCAATGCGTTCATATCCCTTTCAGCACTGATGCAGAACTTTATTTTTCCAGAGAGGGAGAATTGCATTTAAATGGATTGTGATAGAAATTGGGTGAATAAGCTCATATATGCATGTATATACATACATACAAACTAGATGCATTTTTTTCTTTGTAAATGAAGACTTAGATTTACTTTTCTCAAATATTTACTTTAAATTCAATTACATTCACTGACACTGGAACGAAGGCAGATTTGTACAGTGTTAGATAATGATGACACAAGCTTTGGTTTGCAAAGCTAACTGAATATTAAGTACATGTACAGAATACAAAAATGAATCACAGCAAAACCATTTCTATACTTAACATTTCCATTCCCTCTGTTCTGAAAGGTTCATTCTCTGCTCCATATCAAACTTCTTACTGATAGAAAGATTACTTATCTTTTGCCTCTAATAATTTATCAGTACTCTTTCAGCCAAACAGTAAGTTTAATGCACATTTTTGGCTGAAGACTTCTGAGGAATCAAATGAATGTTTTGCTTAGGGCATGTTCTCCGCTGCTAGTAATCAAGGCAGGTAGGAGGCAAGATTTTAATGACAACAGCATTGATATGCAGATTCTGAGTGCACATTAGCTATGTACAGTCATAACCCTTGACTTCCTGGGACTCGCATATACCTGCTAACATGTATGAAAATCTAGTCACTTACACCTCCTTCTCATTAGGAAAGATATATAAAATTTTCTATATGATAGCTAATAATTATGAACAGACATCATAATGGTAACACCTTTATGATTATGTGTTATTCTTACTGGAGAAACAGAATGCAAGCAAAAGCTGCATCTTTTATTAGAACAACATATTTGGAAAAAGAAACAAGCAAAACAAATTCTTATTAAGCTGTGAGATACACAAGACTTTCTCCAGGTCAGCTATCAGTTGGTCTAATGAAAGACAAAACTCTCAATAAAACTCGCCCATATCCTTGAAGCAAACCTCTTAGGCTCCAGGCATCAAATGTATTTTATAAAATATTTCTTAATATTACTAGACTCTGCTTCTATCAGTGCCAAGCTTCATGATATCGTTACTGGGCTATGCTAGCTGTATTTCCCAAAGTATGTCCTCTAGCCAGTGCAATAAACCGAAGACCCAGCAGGCCACGAGCTTTGCAAAGCCTTCATGTTAAGGCCTGTCAGGCTTCCTTTGTACAGACCCCTCTTGGTCTGCCTGCAGTTGTGTTTTTCTAGGTCTTGCTATAGCAGCAATCATTTTAAATAGATAACAGTAACACAAGCAGTTAATTTTTTGTAGAAAGAGATATGACTAACAGAACGATGATGTATAAAGCAATACAGGACTGGTATGGCAACAGAGGCCTTGTGAGAAAAAGACATGAGGACGTGGTGAGGAGAAGCACAGGTCTGGGATGGTAACAGTGGAGGCACAGGCTGGTGCTGGAGACCCCATGATTATAAACAAATGCAGACCTGGAACTGAACGAAACTGGTATTTAGGGGCAATGAAGGCAACAAAAGTGTAGTAGCTAGCATGTGTAAAGGCCATCAAGTATCGTAAATTTGAATGGGAGATGAAGATGCAGATCAATGAAGAAAGACCAAAGCATAAAAGCATATTAGCAAAAAAAAGTGTGCTAGCAAAAAGGGCCCCAGACAGTTCCTAGAATGAGGAAGATGCTATCATCATGAAAATCACATCCCTGCTGCTGACGTACTCACTGCAGCATCCTTTCTGCCCCCCCCCATCAGAGTGAAGCCACCAACCTTAGGACCCAGGACCACAAAGGATGGAGAGCATAACACCAGCAAAAGGGGTAGAAACAATTTAAACTGTACCACTGTTCTTTCTTCTTCTGTAATAATTATACCCAGACTAATAATAGTCAGAGTCTACAGATTTCAGAAATCATAACTACACATGCTTGGTTTTATATCACATATACACACGTATACATGTGCACACACAGATCAGAGAGGATAGGAAAAAATGTATTCCAAGGAAAGCCTGCAAAAAAAATATTAGAAATACATTCTCAGCTGCAGCATTTGGCCCTGTGTCTCCTGGAGATTAAGAAATCCACTGGCACAAAAGGGCATGAAACACATGTTGAAATTGACTTTTGTCATTTAGTAGGTGGACAGACACGTCTACTGTACCAAACAGCCCTGAAAAAGAGATTGGACACATCCATTCATCATTCCCACAAGACAGAGTTTGCTGTAGCCAACAATCAAATTAATTAACTGCTGAATCTAATTTACCCAAATTCTCGTTAATTCTCCTCTGGGTTGATTATTAGGTCTGACAAATTCCAGCCCCAAAGCACTTTGCTTGAAAAAAATAATAATTAGCAATGGGAAGAGAGCAAATGAAAGTTGGGACTCCACAACAGTTGCGGAAACCATTGTTTGTTCTCAGAAATAGAGTGAGCGAAGCAGCTTCACAAGTACTCCATTGGTTTTGTTTAAGCATAATTTTTTAAGAGGACAAAAAAACAGGGAATAAAAAGCACTTAATGGAATAGAAAGCAATGGTGTGGTGCAGGAGAAATGTTGCAGCTTCACTTTTTTCTTGGAAGCTAGACATACTGGAGAACTCATTAAAACCTGTTTGCTGCTGGACTCAGTAGGTAGTCAACAACTGAAACCAAAGGAGGTTTAAGAAGGCACACTCTCAGTGGAAAAAACTTGTCAGAGTTCAATGCCATTCAATCCTGTCTGACTTGCCCTGCTGCTTTTGTGCTGTGTGGTGCTCAGCAGCATTTCAGCCTGGGGTTAGCACAACATTTAAAGCAAGTCCTCCTTTCACTGCAGAAGCCATCTGCTGAGGCTGTCCCATGTTCTACTCAAAGCTCAAAAATGGGTGGTTTGTTTGTTTTAGCTTTACAAGCTCTGGGTATACTTTTCACGAGGATCTAAGTCAGAAAACTGTGCTTCAAGAAGGAACCAGAAGTGAGGGGCCAGAAGAATTCAAAATGGTCACAACCCACTTCTTGTAATAAGAGGGCTTCATTGATGAGGCTCTTTCCAGTGGGACATATTTCAAGGGCACATACAACTGTCAGATGGCTCAGAACAGTAACCTTCATAAACTTTGAGGGCCAAGCCTTCGCGCTCACCTACATGGTAACTGTTGTTCATAGGATCATTGCCCAGCTCCTAAAATTGAATCTTCTCAGACTGCCAGAGGAGGGTTTTCATTAGACTGCCTGTGTCTGTTGCCTGGCCTTCTGCAGAGCTTCTGCCAGAAGCAGAAGCAATTAGCTGTTCCTAGTGCTCAATGCAAGACATTTTCATCAGCTAAGCTTTGACTGATGGAAGTCTCATTGCAGCAGACACTGGCTGCATTTGCTGTGCAGCTGCATTTATTGGAAGCATTGACTTGCTGTGCTACTGAGTTTTGTTCATTAGTACTTAAATAAATAATCCACCTGACTGCAGACAAGATTCTAGAGCTGTCAGGAAAAGCCAGAGAAAATCATTAGTTATAGAAGAGCTGAGTTCTCCCCTCACAGATTTTCAGAAACAAAAAAAGAGTGAGAGGATCAGAAGTCAGGCTTTTCCATGCAGAAGTTGCAGGGATATTTTAGGAGACAAACTGTATGGTATGGTGGAATACAGGACTGAAGTGTTTTAAGTTCTCTTTTAATGAAAGAAAAAAAGGTCATAAATCCACTCATTTCGAGATCACAAGGGTACCATTCAGATCAGCTGCTTGGCTCTTTTACACAACACAAGACAAACGAGTTTAACCACTTCTGCACTACAGTCAGCACGGAGAGATTCCTCCAGCTGCTTTGCTTTAGCATTTTGTAGATGCCAAACTGAGCTGTCAATAAGATCAATAATGTAGGACTATCTTTTAAAGCATGCTTTGGGCGTTGCACATAGGTAAGTGCTTTGAGCTGGAGTTAAGACAGAGTATCAAGAAATACAACTGAACTACAATGCTCCTGTCACATGACATTCACTGGATGAAACCATGAGATGAAGAATTTTCCTTTGGCAAAATATGTCAATGCTTAATTAGCTTTGCCTATAAAATCTATTCTTATTTTCAGTTAAGAATACTTCTAGAAGAACTTCACGTCCAGGCTGTGGGGCAGGATTTTCCATTTCCCCCTTATTTGTCTCTTTTACGATTTAACTTTTTACCCCTCCTCATACCAAGCAAATGACAGCTCCTCACAGCTAATAATGAATAATTTGGGGCAAAAGTCTAAGACATTCCACCTTGAGGTGTTAATTCCGCAACTTCAGAACAATGCCTTATGACACAGGTCATTGCCTCGTGACTCTTCAAACAGCTCTTGATGAGGGAAAACCCAGTGCATCAGGGAAGACACAACCTAAAAAGTGCCCTTGGTATAGAGACCGGAATCGGATCATTACAGCTTCTATAACATATTGATTTCAATTACCTAGAATGTAGGAAAGATAGTCCAATATCTGATTTTAACTTCCTTAATGATTGTTGAATAACATTAATAATAAAAGGCTACTTGTGAAACCAAGGTAAAATAATTCGAGTTCTCACTTGAACTGACAGAAAACATTCCAAAAACATTTTTTTTTTTTTTTTTTTTTTAACATCTATATTATCAGCAGGGGGCCAGACCACCTCATTGGAATCCAGTGGCAATGTCTCATTGACTCCGCTGGGCTCAGCTCAGGACTAATCCCAGTGGGCTTATTACAAACTAGAAGTGCAGACCTCTGTAGCTCTATCCAGACTAACCTCAAGGAATACCACAGAACAGGGACAAGTGGCTTTTGCCTCACATGGATACCAGGAGCCCCTGACCTGGCAGTTTCCAGTAGAAGCAATGAGACACTGATGTTTTGCCACCACTGCATTGATCAAACACCCACTAATATCAATTGCCAGGAGAGTTAACAGAAACACTTCATGTAGAGAAACAACTTCTTGATTGTTTCTTTTTGTTGTTGTTGAAGTGTTGTTATTTTTTTTTACAGCTTGGGGCTGCCCAGATGACTAACTCTTCACAACCATTAAAACTACATCATGACATTGTTACAGCAGCTTCTGAAATTTTAAAAGGTGAGGAAGGAAATTCTAAATCAAAAAACAAAACCCCCATCCCACGAGATGGTAAGAGGTGATTAAAAGCAAGACAGTTACAGATTAACGCTGATTGGAATTGAAGGTGAAAAACAGCAGCTTCTGCATATGAAGTGACAAGGGGCTCTCTGTCATATATATGTAAAAATATGTATGTACACGCTATACCTTGTTCACGCTGACGTGCAGGGCTGGCCATGGTCCAACTACCTTCATACTCTCCGTTTCTATTTTCTTCAGATGAGAGGTTTCATCATAAAGAAGGGGAAGTCCTGAGCTCAATTCTAAAGAGATGCCCAAGAGAGAGAAAGAAAGAAAACACAGTCTGAAGGAAGGCTACAGAAGAACAGCAGAGCAAGTCACTGAACTTTGTTTGAAGAGATGGAGGTCAGCACATCGTCTTCCCTGCAAGACCACCTAAAGCCTTACATAAATGTCGTAGAATCACAAATTGTAGGGGTTGGAAGGGACCTCTGGAGATCACCTTGTCCAATCCCCTAGTAAACCAGTTTCCCTACAGCAGGTTGCAGAGGACCAGGTGGGTCTTGAATATCTCCAGAGAAGACGACTCTACAGCATCTCTGGTAGCTTGCTTCAGTGCCTGTTGAGTCATTAAGCCTGCTGGGTCATTTTTCCTTTTTCTCTTTAACAATCCTCCCCCCCACCTCCCAAGCTCGTTCTCTCCCACCCCTACGCTTTGGCAGGGCTTTTGCCAGCTTAAGGGCTAGGTTCTTCTTCCAGCCAGCCCCCCTATATTCAACAGAGTTGACACTCTGATGTCAACCCCATTGACACCAGAGAACTTATTTATGTGGCCAAGGAGCCTCTCTCAGAACATGTGATGTGTACAGAGATCAGAGTATAGCTTTTGGCTCCTCTCAGCTATCTTTATTTATATATCAGTCTCTTTAACACTGTTGTCAGGAATTTGCTGTGCTTTGTCAACAGAGATTTAGAGCAAAGACAAAAGACAAGATTTTGAGCACTGACAGAGAAAGACAAGGTAAAATATTTTTGTGACGCTCCTGAAAGGACTCCACCAACATCCTAGGGATGGTGTGGCATATATGTATTTGCAAGTATTCTGAGAAAAACGAGAGCTTCATTACACGACAATTTAATGAATCCTCACCTCCTCCTGTATTTCTTTTTGCCACAGATTCTAGGTAATAATAGTTGGGAATAATTCAGTAGTCTCTGGAGTCTGATTCAAAGCCCGTGAAATCAATAAAGACTTTGCACTGCCTGCAGTTCCATTTGGATCACTTTCTTAAGCTGTCCTAAGAATATTAAATATTGCTCACTCAAGATCTAGTTCTACAGCTGTTTAAATATACATTAATAGCTTTGCTGACTAGAGACAAACTGCTAATGCCAGTTTAGAGGGATGTAAGCAAAAAGCTGTCTTGGTACTGGTGAAACATAGTCAGTGGTAACGGTGGCTTAGAAGGGGTTACGACATCAGCATTGACCTCCTATTGGTGGTCTCTCATCAAAAGCTGATGAAGGCAGAGTTCAGCATTTCTGACATTACGGTTGCTTCCAGAGATATGGAACTGTGAATCTGTCTGATTGTACCACTGAAAGAATTACCCCAGCCATCAGATAAGACTACATGATGATTCTTTTTAAAGAAACATGGACATTCTATTGCATGTCAAGAAGGAACATAGAGGGGAAAAGTGCATTATTTGAAGTATTCACTTTTGCTGTGATTTAAATCTGACTTTTTAGAATTTTTTTTGCCTTTTTTTTTTTTTTTTTTTAACAGGGATAGCTTCAGAAACCAAGCAAGCTATTTTAGCCTTTTGACACAACCTTGCAAACAGATAAAAGATGTGTGTATATATATATATATATATATATATATAAAAGGCAAAAAAATTGGCATACATTTACTGAGTCAGCATTAGGTCTTGGCAAACCAGGCTTTCTTTCAAGAAATAATCTGGCAGGACTGTATTTTTTACAAAGAAACGTTCTAGCCTGAAATTCAGTTTGTATTACACCATCTTTTCCTTGTGGTTACACAAGGACTTTTGCATCAAGCAGGTCAGTAATAAAGGATGTCTTTTTTTTTTTTTTTAGGTGATAACCTGCAAGCTCAGCCTAGAGCCTGAGAGGCAAGCTGAGCCCCTTCTTCCAATTTGTCATTTTCTGCCATAAAAATTGCGTGGGCTAACATGATGAGCTTGTTGGCAGCTGTTTTCTGTGACAGCCCCAGCTGCTGCCATTGGGTTTGCTCACATGCATGTGGAAATCCATGCACAACGTTGCCGTCCCAGTTAGGCTCATTGAGCAGTGCTGGCATTGCAAGGCTGGCTGCTGCTGAGCACAGTGGTCTCTGGTACAGTAACTGAGAGAATAGATGGGGAAAGATCTGCTGCGTGAGAAGATAGAATCTGTGTATTCAAGCTTTAAGGTGAAGGGCAGCACTGCAAATACCATAATTAGGCAGAATGCAGGAAAACATCTTCTGCTGAACTGCCTTTGCAAACACACGCCAGATTTATTTCACCCAATTTCACTTCTTCCAGTAATCAAAGTAGACAAAGGACTTGGAATGTGAAAAATCAGGCAGATCTAGCCTGAGTTTGTTTTCTGTAACAAAGTCCCAGGCTGTGTACTTGCTGTGAAACATGCAGCAGCATTTTAAAGGGAACCTTGTCTGGGCATTTGCACCTCTCCTTCCTGTGCCTGGTGAGTTGGCACTGAAATTTTGTAATTTATCACAGCATGTCTATGAGGAGAAAATCCAGACATCTTTTCCCCTCTCTCTATCACATGCTATGTACTGACTGGTGGGTCACTTCAAGTTCTACTTCGCATACAATTAAAATCACCTCTAAGCTCAGAGATGGGTCTGTCCTGTAAGATCTGAAACAACTAACGAAATGCTCAAGGTCTCCTGGAAAACCGTAAGGTAGCCAAGCTGACATGCACAGCCTCACCACTGTCAGCCTCACAGGGAGATTTCCATTTGGCTAGCATATTCCTCACGTGGATCTTCTGACCTTCCAAACATGTCCACTTGAGGTATTTTGGTCACAAGCACCCTCTTCCCAAGAGTGTCCTCAGGCTAGTGACCACATACTTCCTAGCAACACTTTCCTAGTAGGGAACCTTTCATACAACCTTCAGCCAGACACAAGCTTCTATGTCCCCACAGTCCTTATCCAGACCCCTGAAAGCATCTCGTCTCTCAGCTTGAATGTTTCTGGTCCCACAGTACTGTATGTGCAGTTCCAGAGAGGTAGCTGACAGCCAAGGAGCTGCCTCCCCAGTGCACAAAGGAATAGCTTTGATCCAGGGTTTCCAGGGTGGTGTTCCCATCTACACCATCACCACTCCAAAAGCAAAAGCAGCAGCCTGAGCATGCCTGTTCTCATGGAGGGCTACCTTTTGGGAGAAATTAGCTGTGTGACAGGCAGAGTGCATGGGTACAGGGCACTGGGGAACCGTGACATGGTCTGCCTTCAGGTGGCTGGCTGGCAGTCAGGACAGCCAGCTTACAAACTGGCACCACAGTCCCTCTGCAGGAGGCACTCATGTTCCTTTGTGTTTCTTCAGGGAGATCAAAATTCGGGCTGCTTTGGGAGTACAGCAGCTGCTGGGCAGAGCACACAGGGCCTGGCCTCTGCCAGAGTAGCATCCTGGGTGCAGGAAGCATTATTACAATTATTACCTTTCGCAGTAGAGCAGGGCTGTAGGAATTGGAGTCTGGCCCTGCTGCAGCACTGCTGGGGCAGAGGGGGATGGCCTAGGAGAGGTGTAGGGGCCTGAGTTGTGGAGGAGCCCTGTGGATGGGGACATTCAGGACTACAGTGTCCTCAGGTCCAGGCTCTCAAGCAGCACTGCTGCTGGCACTGGCTGCATTTCCACTGGCATGCTTCACCTCTAATTTGGGAAATAAAAAATAGAAGCTGGCACAGAGCCATGGGAAGGCTTCTGGCTCCTGCAGCACCAGGCTGACAGGCTGCATGCAGTCTTAAGCCCCACTTCATAAAGCAGGCAGCACCCCTTTCCCATTGGCAGCCCCACCCCAGCAGTGCCACAGCAGCATTTCCCCTTCTGTAAATCCTCTAATGTGGAGCATTCAGTGCATAAACACAGAGGAGTACAGCAGAGCTTCTGCAGATTGCTGCTAAGGGAGTAGATTCTTTTAAAGCTCCAGAAAGCAATTCATATTGCTGCTTGGAACTCGTTCTTCAAACACTTGCAGTGCCTTGCTTTTGTTTCTCATGCTTAAAATTTTCATCTCCCTCTCTTTGGGAAAGAAAACTAAGGAAAAGGTTTCCAGGTTTCTTGCACAATGTTTGAATAAAACTTCTGCACTGACAGGTGTCTGTGCATAACTGCTAAGGGAGGAAAGCCAGGAGCCAAGAGCACCCAGCACTGTCCATGGTTAGATCCTGGCTACAGGCTGAAAGTTTCCCTAACACATATGTTTTCGAGTGATGCACAAAGCCAAAATATGGACAAAGGAAAAACTTAGCATGCTCCTGAAGTACAGAAAATAGTAGGTCACACCTTGTTTTGTCCATCTGCTGAAATTCTTATACAGTTCCAGCATCTCATGCATTGCAGAGTGCCAAGACTATAAATTTGGAGCGCAAGAAACAGGATTGCTCAATGGCAGGGATGGTTTTCTTCAAGTTTCTGTGTAAACCTACAAACACCTGGCCAAGCTATGCACCTTGTACAAGCCTGTACACATACAGCAGCCGAGATGTATGTCTGAACTCCCCAAGTTTCTCTCCTCTCTACTTTCTACACGCCCAGAATTTCTGCACAGAGCAAGTGAGTGTACTCCAGTGGTGGCAGCTGGGGCTGAGTGGAAATCATCCTCATTACTGCCAGCCGAGGTGATGCCAACCACTGGGACCAAAGCCAGTACAGCAAAGCAAGCCCTTCCTACACACCGCGGAGAAAGACATCACTTGTCTCAAGAAGGAAGAACACCAGTGCTGCAGAAGACAGTAAACCCCTAGATATGAAAAGAGCGCTTCTGATAGACATCCCTCTATGTCCTTTTGCCAGTGTGAAACAGTTCTTTTTTACATAGCTTCTCAGGTATTTCTGAGTTTTTGTTCTTTCTCCCTGGAATTTGGGAGAGCCTGTGAATGGGAATGCATCTTTGCTGCTCTTACTAAAATCTACTGCATTTGCAGAAGTTTTCTTAAAGAGCCAAGAGAATCTGTTGCACTGGACTGGACTCAGCCTCAGTGCAATATTTTTTTAGTTACTCCTCCTCCACAGCTGTGGACTCCAGTACCACAACAGAGAGCACAATGGTGTTTGCCCAGTGCTCCAAAATTTCTGCTGCTTGTGCCCAGACGTGAAATCAGGAGCCAGATCCAAACAACAAGGGCAGAAGGCCAGCTGGGCAGATCAGCAAAAGAATGGCAGATGAAGATAGGTTTGTCATATTATAGAGACAAATAGTAACAATGAAAAAATAGCCTGTGCCAAGTAGCTAGAGACTCAGTATCTGTGACTAATTGGATATTTGTTCAGCTGCAGAACACCAATCTACCACCAAATCCCACAATCCCATAGCAAAGCCAAGAAACTGTACATCTTGTCTCATTTGCACGTAGTACCGAGCTAGAAAACAATAACAGGAAGTATATTCTTCACAGAGGGAAAATGACACGTGTGATGTTTTCCTTTCCTTTGCCTCCTTGCCAGAGACAAAGCTGAAAGCAGCACAGCTACTGACACAACATTGATAGCAGTAGACTCACTATTTGGGTTTGGAACTCCGGAAACAATGTCTTTGCTGTCGGGAGCAAGGGCGCCGTAGTTAGCGTGGTGGTGGTGATGGCGGTGGTGGTGGTGGTGCCTCGCAGGCATTTTTGCAGCATATGGTGCTCCGCCATTCTCCTCAATGTTGAACTGGTGCAGATCGCTGTTGTTCAAGGGATAGCTACAAAATAAATTCGGTTCTAGTTAGAGTGGGAAACAGAAGGATAAACTGTACTTTTGGAGAGAAGAGAGTGCAAATTTCCCTGGGGGGGAAAAAAAAAAAAGTCATTTTTAATGACTTTTACACTTTCCTATTAACAGGAGTGTCACAGGGTGAGGAAAAAGGACTCCTCTGCTTGGTTGACATGACTTTAATGTCAGAATTCTTTTAGATTTTGCACATTGCACAAGCTCTGCTAGAGTCTTACACCAAGTCAAATTCTAACTGAATTATAGAATACAACTCTCAAAAACATCAAAATTTGTTCTGCAGGAATTTGCAGTTTCACCTCCGATAGGAAAAAGGTCAGGCAACAAACAATAATTCTTTAAAGTGAAACTGTCTGAAGAGGAAAGCAAAGAACAGTCCTCAAATGACTTTATAAAGTCTGTGACTGTTTAGGGCTACAAAATAACGTTGAAAAGGCTCCATGAAAAATACAGGACTTGGGAAAAAATGGAGAAAGATCCCATTGGAAAGAAAAGGTTTTACAGGTAACAGCACACAGAATAGCACTTGGTCCAAAAGGGATGGCATCTCTGGTAAATACCTTTTGTTGTTGTTGTTGTGTAAGTTTACTCAGGAGACTAAGTTGTCAATCTACAATATATGGAGAAATGGAGGCACTGACATTCTAACTGATCATCTCTACCTCACACGTGTCACGTGAACTACTACTTTTCTGCAGTAGTTTCAATGGATGCTGTTTCAGTTTATTGTCTGAAATGATGAGGAATGCCTAGAAATATGCCAGCAACCAAAAAAAGATTGACATAATTTTACACAGACACTGCAAATGACTTGGAAATAATCCCTTCAATGAAGTGTTCAAAACATTTATAATGTTTTAACTAATTCTGCAGTACTGCATTAGGCAACAGTTGCAGTAAATCAATTCGTTCCCCATCCCCCCCAAAAAAAATCCAGAAGAAGCCCCTGTCCATTTGAAAAAGGCTAACAAAATTCTCTCTCCACCCACGAGTGCTCAGTTTGCTTCTGTTACCAACAGTAGCTGAAAACCTGACAACATGGAATAAAGACAAACAGAATAATTAAAGGAGCAAAGAATGAATTATACCTAGCTACTCACTACATATGTTTTCTGCAGACTACTTACTGATTCAAAGCAAAATTAACAAGTCATCTGGACACACACACACATCTGCATCATTTCCAAGGATATGCCGAAGCTTGCGACTCAGTGCATCATTAGTAACAACTGCCTTCTTAGCAACAACTGACAGCATGAGGTTTCTGACTGGGTAGCAATTGAATAACGCTTTTGTGCAGGTTACTTTTTTGAAAGCAGGAGGCGGGGAGGGGAAGGCTTTGTGTATTCGCCTTGGCAAGTTCCCAGCATGTAGCAAGGACTGCCAATAAAGGCACTTCTGATGCTCTATTTGCCTTAAGGAAACAACACAGATAGGGGTCACATACACAGGGAAGAGCTTTGGTGAGCTCAGATAATCCAGGACAGTCTTTTGAAACTGTATTATATCTTCACTCTTATAATCAAATTAAGTAAGTGCCTACTGGGGAAAAATGGTACAGGCTAATGAGATTGCATACTAATTGTAACAGCTCGCCTGCACTCTCCCCTTCAAGCTCTTTGGATCAAAGTGACATTTTTTGACAGGGAGAAGAGCTGGTTTTGTTCACAGAATGAAAATATTAACAGTACAGGGCTGGAGTCTCAGCACACCTCTTGCTTTTTCTGGTCTACAATTCAGCATCTTTCAGGACACAAAGCCCCATGCATTCAGGAGTTGCTTTCATTTCACTGGCTGACAGGTTTGTTTAGCAGGTTATTCACCAGTCTTTTAAAAACAAATAAGATCACACTGAATCTTTACACTGATTCCTCGTATTGCTATGGGCACAAGGTAGCTCCCATGCTGAAATAGGAATGACCTGGGCAACTGAGTGAACCCAACAGCTCTGGCACAATTATGAATTTGCACCAAGTCCTCTAGATGCATCTCTTGACTGTCCAGACAGGAGAGCTCTCTCCACATAAAACACAGGGTGACCTTTATTTCAAAGAAGTAAAGAGCCCAACAAAGTTGATGTTCAGGTGTGCACTGAAATCCAAGTCCATGCAGTGCACTCTGATGGGCAAACCCTTACTGAAAATGCTGGCCTAGCTAAGAGGATGCAGTCATTCACTCTCTTCTGGGGCTGGCAGCAACTGGCAGATATGGGCACAAGCCCATCTTGGCACTCAGTGATCTCTTGCACTTCTGATGGATGTGGGGTTGGGTGAGGAAAACTTCACATCCACGACCTCCTTCCCACCTAAGAGCTCTGCACAAATACATTGTAGGTTGGTGAGCCATCAACAACAGTGCTTGCAGCAGCCTCAGATCCAGTCTGCTAGAGAACCTTGGCAGTACCCCCCAAAAAATATATTGAGTAGTCCTAATCCCTATCCTGTTTACTCTATACTGTTTAATTTAGGAGCACATTAGGCATCATACTGTAGTTGCTATAAGATGGTATCTAGCTGGTATCATCGTGGCATCATTTAGCAGAGATGTCACATCTATTTTCACTAATTTTAGTGTTCTCCCACTATCTTATATCTAAAGTCTTGACACTTTCCCCCCAGTGCATCTTTCTGCCATTAACATTCCTTTTTATTGCTTGTTTCTATCTGACTTACCTGAATACATAATGTGCTCACACATCCTTCTCCATCCATTGATGCAAGAAAATCAGTATTTTCTCTGAGTCAGCTTTCAGACTATATCCTGCTCCCTCCAGGTTTTCATACTTGCTCCCCAGACATAACGCTCTCAAACTAAGTGCAAACGTGGGCAGATACCGGTTTTCATCCTTTCTCCTGTAATTGTCTTTTGGTCCTCCTGGTACATACCGATGTTTCACATCTGCTTTGCCTTTTGATAGGCAATAGGCTGTTGTGCAGGTTTCCTGCTTTATTTACCTGTTGAGTTTTCTGATCAAGCTCCAGCCGCTCCCTACATAACCAACTCTTGCCCTTCAAGAAAAAGGCAGTGCTCTACAGACAGTTCTCTAAAGAAAGAAAACATTTCTTCCCTCTCCATCCTGCACACAGGCAAAGCACTTCTAGCAGCCCCACGCTAGACCTTTAAAAAGAATCAAAATTCACAGACACTTGGTAATGCTGTTAGCCTCAAACTTCCACACTTACTTTCCTCTGACCAAAAAGACAGCCTGTAGAGAAACAGAGCAATTGGTATATATCTTCTCATTAGTTTTTCCACTGTTTGAATTTTATTTTTGTTACTAGCCCCCTATCCCAATTTTATAGTCCTCACTCTTTGCTTTAGAAGATAGTTTGAGATGGCATTCTTAAATTTCATGTGCTCCAGCTATCTGCTGCATTACCGAACCATGCCTCTTTTGTACAACTCACACAGACATGTTAAGGGATCAGGAAAAAATGGGGAATAGAAAGGTATTGAGAAAGAATTCAGAAGACTGATTTCTTTACCTCTCCCCTTACAAAAAGACCCTGCAGGCCTACATTGTCCCAGCTGACTGTCTGAGCTGAACCTTAAAAACTCTCCCTAGCAGACTTCATGACCTGCCTATACAATCTATTTCAGTGTCAAGCCGTGCCTGCACTTACTTCTTCCATTTAACCTAAGTTACCTTTACTGCAGTTTAAGCCTGTTATTTCTCCTCCCATCTGTCAATGAACAAGTTATTTCTTGCTACAGAAGCCCATGTTTGTGGAAACAATTTTCATATCTTCCTCCAGGTTTTGAAGCATTCTGAGCTCTCAGTGGCCCCTCACTCCTCATGTTTTCTACTGCTCTGATCGTTCCTGCACCCAATTCTGCACACCCACCACCCACCCCCTGCTCTGCCTCTGAGATGTCGGGCAATCCTGCTGAGGTCTTAAAAAGGCATTATATGCTTCACATATCCTATGGGACCAGTTTCTGTGTATATACTATAACACGACATTTGCTTTCTCCTAAATAACATACAACTCTTGACTCATATTCAAATTCTCATCCTTGGGAACACCACCCTTTCCTAAAGCAGCCAGGCGTCCCTCCCTCCTGATCTGTGAAGCAGGTTACTTGGAACTAAGAGCATTCATTCCTCCTGAGCTGCGTTTTAAACTTTTGCATGTGCTAAGGTCACAACCAACCCATGCTGGACCCATGTGTGAAGCAGAGACTTTCAGAAGTCTAACAAAAGTAGTGATTGCACATTAAGCTTCAGCACAGCAGCTAGGGAATGAGATTTCACAGCTGTGTCAAGCCAAGCACTCATGTTTAAGGTTAGACTCTGTATTTGGAGGGAAAAAAAGGAGGAGACTTTGGGTTTATTCCTCGCCCATGCTTCAAAAGAAGTTCAAAACAAAACAAGTTACTTTTTAGTAAACCTTGCTTTCAACTTATTCAGAATCTCATACATCCTTTGTGTCACTGTAGCATGTAAAGTGGCACAGACAGTATAGAAAGAACTAGCACACTAGAAATTTCTTTGTGGGCAGCAATGAAATGTGGGGAACAGAATGCGGTGCCCTGTGCAAGCATCATTTAATGGCCAGAACCAGTGTGGTGAAGCAAAAGACTTAGGACTCAGTATTACACACGAAAGGAAGCCAGACCATGGAGGGAGGACTGCTCATAAAAGAAAAAGGGTGCAGTTTCGTTTTTGCAGCTGAGGACTGGGACATAAAACAGTAATGAATGTTCCTAGGTAAAGAAGGAAGGCCAGGTTGGATGGGGACCTGGGCAGCCTGGTCTAGCAGGTGGCAACCCTGCTCATGGCAGGGGCTGGAAATGGATGGTCTTTAAGATCCTTCCAACCCAAGTCACACTATGATTCTGTAATCCCTACAAGCACACCTATATGATTTTTTCCCCTGCACCACATAACCAAGGCTTCTTGGTTTCCTAAAATGCAGAAAGTGTACCTTAAGCTGACAGCACTGTTATACTTCTGTGTTGTGCCCTGAC